ACCCAGCAATTCCACCTGTGGGTATGCCTCCAAAAGAACGGAAATCAGTGTCTGAAGAGAGAGTTGTGCACCTATATGCATAGCGTCATTGTTCACAATAGCCAGAAGGTGGGGCAACTCAAGTGTCCATCAACGGATGGATAAGCCAGATGTGGTACAGGCACACATCAGAGTATTATTCAGCCTCAAAAAGGAGAGGAATTCGGACACATGCTACATCATGGATGAGCAGTAAGGACATTATGATCAGTGAAATGAACCAGCCACAAAGACACATGCAGTACCTAGAGTAGTCAGGCTCTCAGAGACGGGAAGTGGAATGGCGGTGGCCAGGGCGGGGGACTGGAGGGAACGGGGTTTGTGTTCATGAGGATTGTCTGGCGGAGCGGAAAAGAGTTCTGAAGATGGATGTGGTGACGGTTGCACAACAGCGTGAATGTGCTTAACGCCGCTGAACCGGACACTTAGAAATGGTTAAGGTAGTAAAATGTTATGTGTATTTTACCACAATTAAAAAATAAAACAAAACTGGTTAATGTCCTACAGGGCAATCAGCTAATCAGCCTTTGGTGTTACCTTGTCTGTTGGATTTAAATTGTTATGTCTTCGCTGGACTCGATCTCCATGTCACTCGGTAACGTCCCCGAGTCTGAGCCCTGAATGAATCGTAAGCAGCCAAGGCACCGAGAGCGCTCCCCTGGGTGCGAGTGGTCCTTGGGTGGGCGTGGGAACAATGGCCGGCTGACGTCAAAGCCCCGCTGGCCCGATTTCCAGGATCGGGCTGGTTAGTGTCCTTTCTTAACATCACAGTCATTAGGTCCCTGTTTTTCCCATTGTCCCCTTCTGGGCAGGGGCTGTCTCGCTGGTCTTTGCCGCCTCTCTGTGTCTGGTTTGTTGAATGGAACGGACAGGAAGGGGAGGCGGTAGGGCCAGTGAGGAGCAGCGGGCCAGGCTTCCCATGGCGCCTGTGACCACGGCCAGTCCTGGGATTTCCCGACGCTCTCACCGTCACACGGGGACCTTGCCCCCGGGTCCTGGGCTCTGTGCTGGGCACTGGGGGTGCTGTCTAATCGGGTTTCCCTCCGGCTCCAAACGCTTGGCTTCCGGTTTGGTCTAAGCAGCCACACAGGGAGGAGTTACTCAGACTCAGTGGTGCAGACACCTGGCGAAGAAATGCAAGAGCCTCCTCCAGGCCCGTCACCGACAGAAGCGCTGTCCCGCTGGCTGTTCCTGGAAGAGCCGCTCTCGGTGCCATGTGACCTCTGTGGCCGGCTCGGAGCTGAGGACGGACTGTGTGTAGCTTTACTAGAGAGGGAACAGCTGTTGTCCGCTGGGGGCGGGAGCATCTCCTCCTGGGACCCGGTGGGAGGGGGCGGTCGCCGCCTCCAGAGGGAAAGCTGACAGACGCCAAGACTGCCCTGGAGAAAGGAGCATTTAATGTCTTATTACGCATTCACGAGGCTCTTGTTGCTGCTTTCAATTAACTTCTTGACCGCTCTGCTCCTCCTCTGTGGTGGAGGCAGAAACAGCCCGGGCCTCCCGGGAGGTGGAACTCCCCGGACCCGAGCCTGTGGGGTGGCTGTCTCCTTGACGTTTCCTGTGTAAGCGGATGGTTTCCGATGGTTAGAACACGCACGGCCTGAGGGCCACCCCTCCCACCTGGGCTGTGGCAGACACCGGGCAGCGGTGGCGCCTTTTCCACGGAGCCCAGAGATGGCTTTTCAGACGCCACACAGGTCTCTGGGCAGCCCGGCTGATCGGTCCGCAGTGGCCGGAGGAAGGGAAGCCCTCGCCTTCCCGGTTAGTTCATCGTCACCGGCCGGGACTGGACGCCATGTGCCCAGCGCCTTGAACATGTGCTGGGACAGTGGGGTGGGTGGAGGAAGGTGGCCTAAGAGCCACGGGGTCTCTTTCTGGCCCCACCAGGTTTTGGTTTAAGACTAGACGTGTCTCTCTCACATTGTCACAGGCAGCCCCACTCCTGCCAGTTCCTAACCCAGCCTGGTCTTCCCACCTCCAGCAGGACAGCTGGGAGGGGGCCTGGGGCGCCTTTCGCTGTGCCGCACAGCTGGCCCGTGCCCTCGGCCATGTGTCCCCTGGCTCCCTGCTTCCCAGGGGCCTCCTGCCTTACAGCATCCAGCTGCCGCTCCAAACCTGTTCCCCAAGAAAAGACCGTTTAGTCGTTAAACCTGCGTTGGGGGCGGGGGGGCGGGGGAGGGGAGAAGGAAGTAGTAAGTGTCCCGATGCTGGAGACCAACCAACACCCGGTGCGTTAGCTCACTGAGTTAGCCAATCTGCCACCAAGAGAATTATTTGTTTTTAATTTAATTGCTTTTATTTATTTTAATGAAATATTTCAAATGCATGAAAGTGCACCGATTAAAGAATACCATTAAAGCCACCACCGCCTCCTCTGCAGCCTCAGAAATGGGAGGATTGCCTTTTAATGAGAAGAAGAGAGCGATGCGGCCGCTGCTGGGGCCAGGGCTCCGGGGCCCCGCGGGAGGCAGCAGCGGATTCAGTGGGAAGCCGGCTGCAGAGATGTCCTCAGCTGTCGGTATTCCCACTGCGGCTCCGATGACCTCCAGTCAACACCTGGGAATACGCCCCTTCCTGTGGGTGCGCCCCGGCTCCGGGCCTGACTGCAGCGAGGCTCCTGCAGCTCCTTCGCTCTGTCAACGCCCCGGCGACGACCACCCTGAAGTTTCCTTCCCACGTGTTTCCGAGGTTCCCTGTGTGAGGGATTCTGGAGCTCAGCGGCCCAGGGACCGGCCAACACCGTCTGCTTCCTCTGGGTAAATCTTGGGGTCTGTCACAGCAGGGCCCCGAGGGCGTGGGAGGGTGGGCCAGGCCTCCTGCTTGCACAGCTTTTCTGGGTGGACAGGCTGTGTTTCCCGAGATGCGCGGGCTGGGCTGTTCGTCAGTGGGTGATCTCACCCAGGGACCCGCCCCCAGCGACCTGGGCTTGGCTCCGCGGCCTGGCAGGCTGGGGCCTTGGTCCCGTTTGCCAGTTCGCCAGCTGCCCTGGGAGAAGCCAGGTCACAGTAACTATGGAGCCACATCACAGTATCTTCCTTTCTGCTGGTGACCCCTCCGCCTTCAGGCCAGCCGCCCTCGGAGGGTCAGAGAGGTTGAGTAACTTGGCCAAGGCCACACAGCAAGGAGCAGCAGAGCAGGGTCTCTGGCACTGCTGCCCTCTCCACGGCTGCTCCCTGCCCCTCAGGCCCGCCCTCCTCTTTGCCCTTCCGTGTCCAGGAGGGCCTCAGCCGGGACTCATTAGACTCCAGGAGGCGATCCCTCTGGTCTGGGAGCTCCCTGTCCCGCCCGTTATGGCCTCGGCCACTTCAGAGACATCGCTGGGCTCCCATGGAGGGGATGTCCCATGGAGGGGGCGGCTTTGACGTTCACGGGGGAACCAGCAAGTTAATGAACCAGAGGGATTTCTGGTGCCTGGGAATCCTCTTATGGGAAGAGGAATCCATCCCAGACAGGAAGGTCCAGAAATGTATTGGAAATATGCAGCTAAGGGCGCGCGCTCACCCTGTGCCGCTTTAGGACGCGATCCCATGACCAGACAGGTGGAGGCTCCGTGTGCGGCCCTGGAGGGGAGGCCCAGTCACGCCGCCTCCCTACCTGAGCAGGTGAGCAGGGGACTGGCTCTCCTTCTGGAACCAGCCAAAGCACACGTCCTGAAACGTGACCTCCCGTGGAGGCCAGCCTGTGGGACAGGTGCGCACCCTCTGCTGGCAGGACAGGTGCGCGCCCTCTGCTGGCAGGACAGGTGCGGCGCGCCCTCGGCTGGTGAGACAGGTGCAGCGCCCTCAGCTGGGCTTCACTGGTCCCTCAGGTCCCCTTCCTGCAGGACAGTCCCAGGGGCACGGCGCCAGAAGCCTCTTATTTTGAAGAGGAGGGAGATGAAGTCCCAAGACGCTGAGTGACATCTTGGCTTGGGTGTCTCAGGAAGCAGAGCCCGAGGCAAAGTCTTGGTCGATGGTGGTTTCCTTGGGAGGCGACTCCAGCCAACAGGAGGGGGGAGCGGGGGAGGGGGCGGGATGCCACTAAGGAGCGGGTCTCTCGGGCCTCCTGGTTGCAGCATTCATACACTGGCTCCATTCTCCCAGGTTGAGGGGTCCCCAAGGTGGGCCCTGGGGGTGGTGGCATAGGCAATTGTCCTGTCAATCTTCCAGCCAGGAAGATGCTAAGAGGCAGTGGTGGTGAAGGCGGAAGGGGGTGAATTTGAGTTCCGGGGGGAGGAGGGTGTCCAAGTGACAGGATTCAATGACGCATGAAAGCAGGCGATTCAGGAATCGGGAAGCTCCCGGGTTCGCCTACTGAGTGCCACTAACGCATGCACCGTGGCCGCCTGAGAAACTTGAGCCTCTTCCCTGGTACAGTTGGAGTCGGTGTCACCCGGTGCCCTTGCAGGTGGTGCGGGTGTGACACGCAGACAGACGGATGCGGGTGTGACATGCCGGGTCTGCGACCAGACAGCCCTCGTGTGCCTTCCGCGGCGATGAAGCAACACGGAGAACGGGCTCCACGTGGGGCCTGGACCGCAGCCTCAGATCCGGCCGGGGGAGCCCTCTCCTCGTTGGGCAATTCCGTGGTGAGGCTCCGGGCACTGTGGTTGGACCCTTAGCTCCCTCAGCTCCATCCCGTTTCTCAAGACTCCACGCAATTCAATGAGCTGCGTCATAGTCTTTGTTCGTCCCTTTATTCGTCCCTGGGCAGCAGGAGTGGGTGTAAGGGGGAGGGTGAGAAACAGGCAGAGAAAGGGGCATGTGCATGCAGGAGTCAGGGGATCAGCCTGTGGCCTGCGGGGGCTGCTGGCTGTGTGGGCCGGGAGCCTGGAGTGCCTGCATGGGGACAGATCTGGGGTCACTAGCATGTAGGTGGCCTGGAGTTCATTTGGGTGCGTGTGGTGGGATGGAGAGGGGCGGAGGGGCGGGGGGCTGGAGGAAACCGAGGAGGGGGAGGAGCTGGAGCAATGATGGCGTGGAGTCGAGGGGAAGAATGGAGAGGAAGAGCCGTGTCTGTCAGCAACGGCAGGGTGCAACGGGCGAGGATGGAAAGTGACGCTTGGTGGTTGGCGTTTAGAAGGTCAGGGGCGATGCAGAGAAAGCGGGTTCACCGCTGTGGTGGGGACAGCGGGAGCTGGAGCGGGTGAGGAGGGAGTGAAGAGAATTGCGGCCTATCCTTCTAGAAGCTGACGCGTGGGGAAGGAGAGGGATGAGGTGCAAGATGAAGGAGAGAAGCAGGAGCCGGCCAAGGCCTGTGAGCAGAGCTGGGCAGGTCAGAGCCGTGGCCCTCGTGCACCACGCACACACATGCACACACACGCACACACGTACACACATGCACACACTAGCACACACATGCAGACAGTCCTGGGAAACGGTGACATTGGCATAAACTAAGCAGAGAAGTAGGGGCCAGGCCCTTTGCTTTCTCCTCCCTCCAGGGACGCAAATGCGTGGTTACCACTTGTCACCAGGCCTTTGCAAGTGGGTCCTCAGGCAGACCCTCACCCCATCTAAGGTGCTACCCACTGGCATGCCCTGTCGTTTCCCCTGACTTCATTTTTCATCGCGCTCAGCTCACCCAGCCGTTTTATGACGAATCCATTTGCTTATCAATTACCAAAGTTACGTGGACACAGGGACCCGGTTTTGTTCATGCTCTATTTCCAGGGCCAAGAATGGGCCCCCCGATAGAGCAGTCATAATAAATGGTGAATAAATGAGTAAATGGACAGATACTCGCTCAGCCTCACGATGCCAGTGCTACTGTGACACCCAGAGGCCCCGGTGCGATGCCCGTGACTGCCCGCATCCCAGCGATTTGGGAGACTTAGAGCCACTGTCATTTTTATTGGTTTTGATGGTGATTTGCTGTCATTAGGGATTCAGGTCTCATCTTCGCGTCTGAGATCCTCTGAGTAGCACGGTGGTGGGGAAGGGAAGAGGCACAGGCCGGGCAGGCAGCCTGAGTCTGACCGTAAATCCGGGAGGAGGGGGTGGGGGCGAGCGCCTGGCTGAGGCTGAGCAGCAGGAAGCCCGAGGCAGCGAGTGGCCCGCGCTTTGCTTCACTCTGAGCGACCATGCGGGCTGCCACGCGGCTCTGGGTCGTGCTGCTCCTGGTGACGGCGTCCGACTGCGCGGTGATCACCGGGGTAAGTCAGCTGGCGTTGCCCTGGGGCTCGGGGGGGTCAGGGTCTGCTTGGGAGCGAGCCAGGGACCACGCGGGGCAGGGTGGGGGCGTGGGAGGGGAGCAGACCGAAGGGAAGGGGCCAGCCGTCCCACAGCAGCTCCCGGGCGGTTCCCAATGCCTTTCCTCGGGAGCAGGAAACATGTTACGTTCGGAACTTGGTGAAATGAGGGCTCCTATTTGGGGCAATACCTTTATAGAAAGGATTGGCACCTTCTAATTCACCTTCCGTGTCCATTTGGTTTTCATGTTCGGCCTGGTCCACGGTCAAGTTTAATGAACACAGCTATTGGCATCATTAAAGGCAGTCACTGTCATAGCATCCCCCGGGTACCGTTCCCCTCTGCGTGCTCCCCTCCCAGCGGAGGCTGTCCTGAAACCCTCCCTCCCTGACTGTTTCTGTTTTCACTCTGTGCCCAGTCTGATTGGAGCAGGGGGACCCCTCCATCGGCTGAGTCGCCCGAAAGCCAGCCTGGGGAACCGGAGAAATGGGTC